CAACTGAGCTTATAGCTACCTTCCCTTCTTTCGCACATTGTTATGGGCACAGCCCATGCCCACCTCCTCAATTTATACACTAGTGAGTGTGTGTACAAAGATTCATGAGACAGAACAGTGAGACACGAGGCACAAATTAGTTACCTGTTCGAAATCCTGCGAAGCCTACAACTTTCATTGGTGTAGACCGTTCTGCCAATAGTATTGAGGGTTTTTACTTCTTTCAGGATTTCCGTGTCGTTCGGGGGATTGAAGAATTCATGGTTGTCACTGAATTGATTCAACAATGAGAGTGCAAGAGTGGTGATTGTTTACCCCGCACTGGTCAATCTTCAGTGAGTTCGTTCATTACCAGTCACGAATTAACATTGAGTGGCTCGGATAAGCTGTCGTGGCTCTCTTGACTGGGTTTTTCGTGTTTCAGATGGCATTTTTGTTTGCTCTTTCTAGAAACCTATTTCTGTTCAAGAGACGCTGTCATACAATCACGAGAGGCTGATCTCCTTAATTCTCCATGCCTTTGGCTGTGGATATCGAAACCCCTCTAAAGCTTTGTCGATTGGCCAAAGTAATGCAGGTGTGTGCTTCTGACTGACAACGATCCCCACAACCAGAACACGAAGCAAAATGGACACATTACCGGCAATCCAATCAATACTGAAAGTACAAATCTCTCAGCGTTCAACAATGTTAATAGCAATATATCTTCGGGTTTAGCATTAAAATCCACCAATCATTACATTGAGAGGCTCACAAATTTATCGACTAGGTCAAGCATAGTAAGATCTTACATCAGATCATTGATTGTTGTACATATATGACCACCGGCTCCCACCTGTCTACTCATAAGCCCACGACATCGAAATAACATCCCATTAAATCTCAGTTTTTTTTCTGGATATCTCAAATTCAAACAGTTCATGGAAGATCGGCTCAATATGTCTTCTTACACCCCAAATTTTGATAACAAATGTTACATTACCACCAATTCTCCTGATGGGAAAACTACCACCTTTGTTGATTCCACCTCATTTGTAACAACTTCGAAGCATCCCGGCACGACATTGAGATACGCCTACTCTGCAGCCTCTACACCCTCACTTACCAATGACACCGACCTCAAAGCACACCAGGAAATCATCAAGGAAGAGAAAATACCCTTCTTTCCCTCAGCTGGTGGCAGCGCAGCCGCATTTTTGCACCTCGACCCTAATCCTGATGGAGCCGAGGGGTTCATGCATCGTACGCGTACGCTTGACTATGTACATGTAGCGGAGGGAGAAGTGGAGTACGCGGTGAATAGTGGAGAGAAGAAGATTTTCAAAAAGGGAGATGTGGTTATTCAACGGGCGGGATGGCATGCTTGGAAAAACGTGAGTAAGACAGAAGGGGCTACTCTTTTTGCCGTTGCCATCGGCGGTGAGGGTGCGACGGAAGGTTTCATGGAAGTTTCAAGTGCGTAGGATGACTTTGGATTGGATAGGTGACAGACGTCTGGTTTGATCAAGTTCCGTGGAAGCTTGGAAGTCGTGGATTTGTTTCTATGTAAGCTACATGCAATTATTGTGGCGAGGTACTCTCCGAGGTGTCAGTATCAGAATTAAACATGTACTTCGGTTCAAAGTGGTGAGATGTGGTGGTATAAGACTTGCTGCAGCATGAGTTACTTGTATAGGTACGAAACGGGCGGAAACGTTTGGTGCAAGTATCCCCTTGCAGTTCAATACCTCAATTGCTTCCAAAATATCGAAATGAACAAAGTGACGACCCGCCTTGCAAGTAGCTTGAATAATGAAGTGAATGTACAGTGCAAAGGTAAATAAACAAAAATCATTGTGTGGGACTGTTTTCATTTGGCGGTGATTTCTGATCAAATGGACCGAATTGATGGTAGCCCTACGTCATCGCTCTTTCCACCAATCAAATCCGTCATCACGTGAGAAATTGACCAAACTTTGTTTTGTTGCACATCTGAAAAATTGTTCACTTTTTAAGCTTACACCTCTCGTTTTGGGGACAAATTTGTTAAAATTTACAGCGATCGGGAATAAGAGCACTTTCTGGACTTTATTCCCGGCCGTGTCAAATCGTAATTTTTTGATATCCTAGCTGAAAAGTGGTGGGTGGGTGTGTCTCGTAGGCTCAACGAGCCAGTCTCGATAATCATTAAGATCTACCCCTCATTCCACCACAACACAACATCTGCCACAAAAAATTAAAATACGAAATAAAGATGGAGAGCTTCGAAGATATGCAAAGTCGACATCGTAAGGAGCAAAAAGATCTGCAAGGACGTATAACACAAAAGAAGAAAGGCGCATCGAAGAAGACTCGCAAAGGCGTAAATAACGAATGTGAGGAACTGGAACGACAATTGAAGGAACGGCAAGCTCAAGAGATAGCATCGTTGGATGGTGATACTGTTCCGGATATCGATGATGTTCCAGAGCTTGACGAGGAAGCTTCGGAAGCTTCTGCGAATGCGACTGACGTAAATGGTGTCAACAATATTACCGACTCTTTGGAGAAATCCACAATTGCGGAAACAACACAATCTGAGTCAGGACAGCCCAAAAAACGCAATCGGCAGAAAGAAAGGCTTGCACGAAGAGCAGCAGAACAAGAAGCTGCTGTAGAGGAAGCTAAGAAAGAAGCCGCGAATATGCCCGATGAAAAAGAAGTTGAGAGGAAACGAATGCAGGAGGAATTCGCCTCGAGAAATTTACAGGAGAAACAAATCAGACCAGATGGACATTGCCTCTTCTCTGCCATAGCTGATCAACTATCACAAGCCGGAATACCTCTTGGAGCCGAAGCAGAAGGATTGAAGGACGATCAGCGCTACAAAGTGGTCCGCAAAGCAGCCGCAACATATATCGAAGGACACCCAGATGATTTTGTTCCTTTTCTAGACGAACCTCTCGAGAATTATATTCACAAGATTAGAGATACTGCGGAATGGGGTGGTCATTTGGAACTTCTTGCTCTCGCAAAGACATATAACGTTGAGATTTGTGTTTTACAGAACGGAGCTGCCCAGAAGATTGAGCCTGGAACAGACAAACCCGAGACGATTCATCTGGCATACTATCGACACGGATTCGGATTGGGCGAACACTATAATTCCCTTCGGAGAGCACCATAAAAACACCGTAACTAAGGAGCACTTGAGTTCATATTCTAATCATAGGCGGGACTCTAGCTAGTGCGACCAAACACTGACCCAATCATTTATCTTGCCATCTGCATCATATCCACCCCTGTTGGTTCTTTTGGGATGAAAGTGTGCAATACGTCGAAGGCCATTCTTGTGTGGTAGGCCAAGTTTCTCAACTTCTAACTCACAGTCCTCCTCATTATATGGCAATACTTCACCTGGACGAGGCAAATGACCTTCATAAATTCTTGGAGGCATAGCCCATGGCGGTCCCCCAATCGATGGAGATTTAGTAGTGGGAAATTCAAGACAGATAAGTCTTCCTTCTGGAGATAGAAGCTCATGATATCGTTTAGACCATGCAGGCCTTAGACTCGGAGGTAATGCACAACCAAACTTTCTCAAGATTTAGTATTCTAGACAATAATAGACTCAAAGAATCACATACCGTGTAATCATAGATCAAATCAAAGCTTTTCTCTCCTTTGACGACTGTCAAGAAATCATCCTTGAAGAAGTCTCCGGCTATCCACGTAACATTTCCTTTCTCGATTCCATCTTTCGGTTCATACAGACCTTTCCCATCTTTCTCCTTTTCGGTGTCCTTAGCCCCCTGCAAACCTGTCTCGGAAATATCCAGCCCATAAGCATCATAACCCATAGCACTTAATAGCAATACATCATAACCCTTTCCACATCCTGCTACCAAGGCTTTCTTTCTCGAACCATCAGCTTTCTTCGAAGCTAGATCTTCCCGCTCATTTAAGATGTCAATCAGTGCTGGATTGGGCGATTCGTTGTCCCATGGAATCACATTGTCTTTCCAGAGCTGATCCCATCTCTCGCCGTGCTGAGCTGGATCTTGACCTTCGAATTGGGCTTTGAGGAGAGCGCGTGTTTCTGATTGTTTAGTACCATTTCAAATTTTTCATGGAAGCTTGACGAACCGGATAAACTGAGTTCTGATGCCATGTTTGTTACTCTTTCTTTGAATCTTCTTCCTTACTTGATTCTGATGATATAGTCTTGTTTCAGTCTTTTCTACGCAGAAATTGCGAAGTGTAAATCGTGGATGAGTTTTCCTGTTGTTCAGATGTTTCAATAACTTGTGTAAAAAGATAATAACAAAAACGCATGACCTTCCAAGGTTACCCGTGGCCCCGGGGACCTTATGTAACTGTGGTGGGGCATCTGTGGCAATTGTGGTGCTAATGAGTAGGTCCACGCCCGGGTACCTAAGCTGAGCTTACCCCGGTTCTCAGTCAAGCCGAGGCTCAGACAAGCCTTAACCCCAGATACCGTTTACTTGAGGTTTCGTATTGCGCACATTTGTTTTAGACCATGTGTGTCTGGGAATGGGAGTGCAAATACGAAGAAGAAACTCCTTATGGCCCCTCTCACTCTTTCAAGGCCCTATAGTTGTTCCAATTCATAATCATAATCACTCTCATACCTTCGTATTGCAGGTAACCCACCACATAACCGTGTATGATCTGATATAGTGTAGAAAAAGCATTACCCTGGCGCCATACACAAATATCCGTAAAACCGTCGTCACAATGATTTTTTGCAGGCTCCAAATCAGAATCACAATTACTCGCTCCATGGGCATTCCCCATACTATTATAATTACCTAGGTAGCTACCATATAAGCGTACCTAGGTAGTTTACCTAGCATAGAAAACAACACCCACCCTTACGCCACACCAAAGCTTTCCGTCATTTCCGTCGAAACCTCGGCACGATAAAAGATGTGGTTCCTCTCGACCTCCTTGATCACCAACTTCAAATCATTCCTTTCCTTATTCTTCGCAAGATAACACTTCATAATCTTTTAACAATCATGGATGCCGCAAATCTCTTCAACGTCAAGGTAATCGACCAAACTCTCCATCACTAATCCATAAACTCACAAACCCAATAGGACAAAGTCGTTCTTGTTACCGGCGGCGCAAAGGGAATCGGACGAATGATATCCGAAGGCTTCGTCACAAACGGAGCCAAAGTCTACATCTCATCCCGCGATGCCAAAGCCTGCGAAGAAGCCTGCACAGAATTGAATGCGCTAGGTGGGCACTTCGACATCTCTCCATTCGTGCGACACAACCAAGCTAATTCTTCTTTCCCACAGGCAAAGGATCCGCACACGCCATCCCAGCCGACTTTTACAAACTCGAAGATTGCAAACGCATGGTCGATGAATTGCAAAAGAAAGAATCGAAATTACATATCTTAGTCAATAACTCGGGAAGTAATTGGGGAGCTCCTTATGCGGAATTCCCTGATGCGGCGTGGACGAGAGTTTTGACTCTGAATCTCACAAGAGTCTTTACTCTTACTCAAGCACTTACTCCTCTTATGGAAGCAGCTTCTACCCCAGAAGATCCAGCACGTATCATCAATATCGGCTCCGTAGATGGAATTCGCGTCCCCTCTCTCGAAACCTTTTCATATTCCGCAAGTAAAGCAGGATTGCATCAATTAAGCAGAGTTCTCGCGAATCATCTAGGGAAGAGAAATATCACAAGTAATGTACTTGCATGTGGACCATTCGAAAGTAAAATGATGGCAGCTACGCTCAAGAATTTCAAAAATGAGATTGTGAGTGGGATTCCGCTGGGGAGGATTGGAAGTAAGGAGGATGTCGCAGGTGCTTGTTTGTTCTTGGCTAGTAAGGCGGGGAGTTATGTTAATGGGGCGACGATCCCGTTGGATGGAGGGAGTCTGGTGGGGAGTAAGTTGTAGATTTTTGTGGGGTGGGGGAAATATATCATTTTACATTTTACGTTTTGAAACATATCACGCTATGTTAGGAATATTAGCATATTTTCGTCTGATGGGAAGAAATACTATACCGCGTGTTCTCGTCTCGTGTGGTAGGTTGAAATTTTGAGCATCGTTATTGTGCACAGTCAAGTTCTGAACAATGCAGATATACATCGGAAAGTTCTCAATTATTCGAGTGAATGAGAAGATCTGCGTATCTAGTAGGTAGGTAGGTATAATAAACCTCCATATTACACCGAGAGCTAATGCCAAAATCCATAGAAATCCATTATACTGTGCGTTGTAAGAGTTCTGGAACCTACTTACCGCATATATATTGTTTTCCCCGCTAAAACCATCAATTATTCAACTTTTAAAATTCTTGTTTAATTGTTATATATTTGTATAAAATAATTAATAAAACTATAGAGTGATTTATATTTACTCAAATTATTTTAAAAAATAGCTAATTTATTCATAAAGTTATAAGGTATAAAAGACAAAATTCATAAAAATTTCGAAAAAATCGCTTATTTTGTATGGGAAAAGCGTTACAAGTTAAAAAAAATCGATTTTTTTCAATTTCAAACTTATATAATTTCTTAACAAAAATATTAAAGAATAAACTATTCATTTTTTTAATTAATTTATAATATGATTTATATATAATTCAGTTTTCGAAATAAAATCTTTCAAATTGAAAACGCTATTAATTTTTCTAATTTGGATGGGAAAACGCTATTTTTGTAGGGATTTTGTCACAAAACCATATGGGGTGCGGTGAGTAGGTTCCAGAACTCTTACATTGGTGCCAGGAGTAATTCGGAGCATGAGAAAAATCAGATGATATAAGAGATACATGATCATGTGGAATAACAACTGCTAATATATATATATGAAAAATTTGAGAAGAAATATGTGTGGACAACGATCATATGTTGATGTGCTTGGGCAGAGGCTATCAAAAGAATTGAGACACGTTCATCGATCTTTATTCTGGGATTGAGGATAGGTATCAATACTTCACGGCTGTGCAGCTTGTTTTTCTTCAAGGCATATGAAAACATCTTTTTGTAACTATTGGTGAGAAGGCACATCTATCTAAGATCGATTGGTCGGCTCCCAGTCTTCGAGCGGCTATGCATCTAAGCATCCATTATTCTATTATGATTTTTCGATTCCGACACAATTATTTTGTCAACTCGAATACCAAGGCTTCCTCAAGTATCAAAAGGCATCTTAGTAAGCCATGTAAAATCGACCGTGTCAAAACGCCGGTCCAAATCCGTGAGAATCTGAGATGAACCACTATTTTCGGGGCTAGGAAGCACAGTATCTTGGTGAGCAGATGCGGCATGACGGATTGGTTTTATCGGATACCAGTACTGGAATGTTGCCGCGCTGTTATCGTCATCGGGGGTAGGTGGCCTGGCCTCGGCTTCAACCCGTTAAGAAGCTTTCTTCAGACGAGAGAATTTTCGAGGCACGATCTGGAATAGGATATCTAATATGGTGACTAGACGGAGGACTGACGAGGTGAAAGTAGTGTATTGTCTGAGAATTGCAGTGGCTTTGGAGAAACTTTCATGTATTGCGGTTTCTGATATTTCAGCCACAATAGAAGGGCAGAGACCTCCTGCGATCAATACTGTTGCAGACTTGTACAAGAATATTACATTGCACCACCATGGAGAGATCTCATTCGAACCTGAAGTCTCGCGAAGGTGTATAGTATCGATAGCTTCTTGGGCGATTTTGACACATACAATTGCATATTGGAGAGAGATTCGATGAGAGAGTAAACTTCCAAGACGGATACGTTCTGCTTTATTTGGAAATTCGGTGCGAATGAGTTGTTGAAGAACGGGCGTCAACAACAATAATTGAATGTGGAGATGTCTTGAAATGCTGTTAGCCTCATCCCATAGGTTACTTTTGTATGTATTTGTATTCATACCTTTGGTGAAGAACTACTGCTTGACGGATTAACTCAGCATTTAGATCGTGGTAGGTGGGATGCTGCTCAATCCTGAGATGTTCAGGATTGTCTCGTTCCCAATCTGAATGTCTTTCCTGTAGATTGAAAATTGCAGCGCTTGTCCCAGCAGATGAGATGTTCTCGGAAGTGGAACGCCCTTTCTTCAGATTTCTGTCAGATTTGCTATGTCGTAAATCGAGGAGTACGGCGTACAAGATGTCGTAAAGTCCTAGACAGGACTTAAAGAAATCAGAAATATAAGTTTGTCGCGTTTCTATGGTGTTCTCTTCATTGTGTCTCGGTTGGTAATTATCATCCTCCGCAATTAAGGGGAGCGGGATAGCAGTAGCAGCTTGTGGATCGATCATAGATGGTCGACCATATAACATTGAAACTTCTCTATCCATAAGAACACAACTATGCCAAGCTTTACGAAGCGAGTTTCTAGCTTGACTTTTGGCTATTCGTTCGCTTGTTTCAGGTAAGTGAAGTTCAAGCATCTGAGCTGTGCGTATTGCGTTCCCAACATATAACCAGCACATACGAGATTCGCCCATGCTTTGAAAATATAACGCCAAGAGAAGATATGACTGAACTAAACGGACTGAACACTCTTGAATGTCGAGGAATCCTTGTGCTCTTCTGCAAAAGATGGCAGCCATATTCTTATGGTTTGAAACTGTTGTTCTCGTTTGGCGGCTGCTGATAGCGAATACCGAGTTGATTAGACAAATCAACGACCCTTGATCAGATTTGTAGTTATCACAGCTCCAAATTCTCTCATACTCTTCTCGGAACTCTAATTTATCCAAAATTGGATATAAAATATGAACATTCTAAAAATATGATGTGAGTAGGCTATCGGCTTGCTCCCGAGTTGGTAAAATGTGTTTCGGATCCCTCTGTCGTGATTCATAAGATGATACTGGGGATGGGGAAGTATTAGGACCAAAGCCAAGAACGTTTGATGCAGATGGTGATGCTTCACTGATTTTCTCTGCGACTAATTTCTCCACTTCTTGCATAAAACTTTTCGCAAAAGTGTTCTCAATAACATCGGTCCCGTGATCATGATCCACTACAATACTATGTATGGGACGAATGCTAGAGGTGCAGATAGTATCAATGCTTTTTGAGAGCTCTTGAAATGAAGGAACTAGTCCCGGGCTGATTGTGGGAGCCAAATTAGACTGCCATTGATTGGTGCTCATTTCCGGCGTATTCATTGACGGGTATCCCTCCCACGCAACTGTAGAAAGCCATGTTGCAGATGCAGGTGAAGCTGAAGTCGTAGCTCCATGACTACTTATGGTCTCTGCTGATAAGTCTTCTGAAGTACTAGAAGCACTATTTGAACTTTGGTTATTGCTGGGTGAGATCTGGCAATCTTGACTGTTACGTGCTTCCAGCAGTTTGATTTGATCTTCGAGGCGTCTGATATAATCTGCGGATGCTGGAGCACGTGAAAAGTCCGTGGCCCAAGTGCAGGAAACTAACTTTGACCTTTTCTCGCATGGTCCGCACACTATGAGAATGGAATGATTAGCACATACAAGTGACGTTGAAAACTTAATACTTAGTTGGTGGGTAATACCTGGTTGATGACCATCTGTCGGGATATCGATCATGTGATCTAAAGAGGGCACTGTATTGCACTAGCGTATGCACTAGCGCTAGCACTTCTACTATATTAATTACTAGCTTCCCATAGATAATAATGATTAAGAACGAATACAACCATAATAAGACTAAAGTACTTTACACTTATCAACCAAGTTGATACCAACACCATCACATTTGACCTGTCAACGGAATTTAGTAAATGTCGCTATAATCTACATTGGAGCTGCTGCTACCTTCCGGCCTCGGCAGGGATCACAAGCCGTTGTCACCTTCTGCCTTTTTGGTGCTCGAGTATCCATATCTTCACTGAAAATTCTGATTAAATAGTGTTAAAGGTTCGGTTCGGTTGAACGCTTGCCTAGTTGTACAATGGAGGTGATGGGCAACAGGATGGAATGAAGCAGGAGCGCTCTGTCCCCACGTGACGAAAATTCCTGCTGGAGCTCTTGTTAGGCTATAGAATTGAAAAGTCAAGTGTGATGTCCAGTGAAGTGTCTTTGATGCTGTATCTCAAGTTTATGATGGATATAGTATTTTCAATCTCGCGGTGTATCTAACTCTCGGTATTAAAAACACGGTACCCAGCACCAAATCACGGAAGCGATCCGAAGCTTATTAAAGCAACCGGAAGCAAGACGGCTCAAAGATAGCCCGAATTCACGCCTAAACGACAAGATTTGCATTCTTCCCCCATTGTTTTCGAACAGAAATCTTTCACATGCAACACTTGTCGGAGAACTCGCATCCAACCAATTCATGCTTTATAGATCTAGTGACCCCTAGAGGTTACACTAAACAATCTTCTTCTTGTGCTTCAAATCCTTCAGATCATCATGCGTGGATACAATTATGCGAGAACTCTTGATTTCCGGTCTGGAAAGCAGTTCCGTATAAGCACGAGCAAAATCCGACGATTTCATTGCTCCCGTTTGAGCGGCCGATGAATCAACTTCAACCCGACAATTAAGATACACTTCGTTGAAGCGAACGCTCGAATCAGTACTGTCACGGCAGGCCACATTTGCCATCGAGAAGAGGGGACCTTGTGAGATAGCTGTTGCCGCGCGAGCCCCAATGTCACCCTGTGCTCCGGTGCAGAGTGTGAAGCTAGTTGCTTTCTTTTGCTCCAGCAGACATGGGATGGTTGCACGATAAGCGACTATGGAAGTTAGTGGGTATATCAAAGCTGCTACTACAGCTATAGAGATCTTACAAAAGTTGGATTCAAAGTTGACACTCATGATTTGACGCAATTCCTTGAGGGTTAGTTCAGTCAAAGGCGTTGCACCGTATGCACTTCCAGCTTCATTAAGAATTAGGAAAGAACAAATCAGGCATATTATGGTCTTACCAGCAGAGTAAACGTGTTGAAAACCTGGCAGTTTCCCAGCCCGGACTTGGTCCACCACAGTTTGCACTCCTCCTTCCGACATGATGTCGGCCTCGACTGTTGTGATGCCGTTCTTTGTTCCCACATGTTTGAATAATTTTTCTGCAGAGGCCTGATTCCTCACCATTGCAAGCACATGCCGCTTAGATTGCAGGGCTCCAAGTACTGCTGCGACACCGATGTTTCCAGTGGCTCCGATAATAAGAACGTTCTCCATATCTTGAACTGATGAATACAATATTGCAGAAAGTTTGAGAAGTTGATATGATGAAGATTTGGAGATGGTGTGTTATAGTGAGTTAAGAAAACTTTTTACAGACTACTGAAGAGTGCTTCTTATATCAAAGGAGCACATTACCTCCGGTTCTTTTGAGCTAAACTCGAAGACCGAGACGGAAAAACTGGAGGGCGACGGATGATCTTCCGAGTTGAGATTACCTAGGTAGATAACGTTGGAATAGCTTCCGGGCTCGAGCCCGACGACATCATCGGAGCTTCCGAAATTAGAATAATTGTCAACGGAAGGGTCTCCGAGTTTCGTAAGCTTCAAACTTATCGGTATATTTGCTTCGCGGCATGGAGTTACCCCGTCCCCATCGAGGCCTTCGAAGCTGACGGTTCATTGACGTACAGACGCATGGAATAAGTTTTTTTCTCTGGCCCTTTGAGCTCGTTCTATCTGCTCCTTTTTGTTTATTCTTCATCACTCGCATATTTTTTCTCGACAAAAATCTGTATTCACATTCAGATATCTACCAAAATTGTCTCCATTATACAATTCTAAACAGAAGCTTTACTTTAACTGCATGTTCTTGGTCTGTGTTGTGTACAACAGAATGATGGTAGATGAGGAGAGGCAGAGGTCAACAGAGCACTCCCTCAAGAGATTCACGATCCAAAAACCACAGCTACCCAAGATGTAGAGTCGAACGAGGAGTTTGAATCTTTGAACCAGTCTACCAGTCCAGCTTCTGTGCGTCCAGAAATTACTCCGAGCGAAGGATTGAGCCCGGCGTTGGAGCATCCCCCTACGGCAATGGTAGTACCACGATCAAAACGGCGAGGACTACTTGGGCTATTGACTATTATACCAGAAGTCAAACATCCACAAAGCTATTAAAATGGTACTAAATGGTTAATAACATTCATTGTTGCGGTGGCAGGTGCTGTGGCACCTCTAGGAAGTGCTATATTCTTTCGTGAGTCTTTATGTCTTCCCTATCACTCGATTGCCACATTTTATGCTGCTAAAAGTGCTGACTCTCTGCGCAGTTGCACTCACTGAACTATCGGAAGATTTCCATGCTTTTAAACACTCACCAATCTTACTGTGGTTATGTATCTTCTAGTGATGTCGATATTTCCACTCTGGTGGTCTGCCTTTTCGGGACTATTTGGCCGCCGGACAATATACCTGGCATCTTTCGCATTTTTCACATTATGGAGTGCTATTACCACAATATCTACTTCAATGACAATGCTGATCGTAATTAGAGTTTTAGGAGGGGGCACAGCCGCCTCTGTTTTAGCTATCGGTGCAGGCACTATTGCGGATATTTGGGAGCCAAAAAAGCGCGGTCGTGCGACGGGGATATTCTTCCTGAGTCCTATGCTTGGGCCGTTTCTAGCTCCGATTATTGCTGGAGAAGTAGCGGAAAAATGGGGCTGGAGAAGTACCCAATGGTTTCAGACTATCTATGGAGAGTTAATATTGATTCTGCTGTTATTTTGCCTTCCTGAGACACTCGCAAGACGAGCCCTGGTTGTCGAGGAACTCGCTGGTGGGAAAATTACATCTCATCGACCTAACTTTGCTCCCTTACCGACTTCGCCATCCATTCAACATAGAATAAAAAGAGTGGTAGTCATTTTAAAAAATTTATTAACTGATCAACTAAAGATATTGGGCTATCTTCAATTTCCAGCCGTCTCGATCACAGTCTACATCGGTAGCATAGCCTTTAGATCTTGATACATATTGAACATTTCCATACAGAAGACATTCGGGGAGCCATATAATTTCTCTGGGGTAACAGTCGAGCTGACATATATCCCGGGCTCACTGGGCTATATTTTTGCAGGTTTTGTGGGAGGAAAATGGTCGGATGCTATCATGCATGGAGAAGTTTGTGCTGCAGGTCGATTAGATGGATCTGGAAAACTTATTCTCCGACCGGAAGATCGCATGAGAGAAAATGTTCTACTTACTGCTGCTATTTATCCTACTGGTCTTTTAAGGTTTGGGTGGACTGCGGAGAAGAGAGTTCATTAGATAGTCCCCCTGATATTAGTATATCCCCTTCATGACGTCAATAAATCATTTTGAGAGTTTTCAACTCATGCAAAAATAGGCTCACGGAGTTTCTCCCCAAACGAAGTTCGTGTGATGTAGCAGTAAGTATATTTGTGCGGACAATTTTAAGCTGTGTCGGATCAGTGATTGCGCAACCTTTGCTGCAAGCCATTGGAGACGGGTAGCTATTTACGATTCTAGCCATTATTGGATAGATCAGCGCGTTCTCAGTTCTTTGGGTTATGAAACGATTTGGGCCTCGATGGCAGGTTGAAATGGGAAGAAGTTGGCTCGGTAGACTCGGTTTGCCGCGGATAGTCCCGCTCTGTGAATGGTACAAACCTGATATTGGCCAAGCCCCTACTTAGATGAAGCCCCTAAATAGAAGCTCCAGAACATCAAACTTCGATAGATTGCTTTCCATAACCTTCATACGTGAAGAACGCATGTTATCTTTTTTATTGCCATTTCTGAAGTCATGAAGTGAATTTACATATCGAACTCGAATGAACAAAGCTGCAACTAGCATCGATTCAAACCCGTGACTACCCAATTAGTTTAACTCAACTAACGAGAAATCACTAAGCGAAAACTAAGTAAAACCAGCATCAACAGTCTATTATATATACCGACATCTATTTACATCAACTCGTACATCAAATCGGCAAGTTGCTCAAGTGAAGAGCGTACAAAACTGTTCTAGGGGAAAGAGTGGATTCAAAAGTAAAGGTAGCCAGAAACCATATTCTTTCATTCATAATGTGGTCTGTTTTCCCTCTGTTTCCCCTCTTTTTGTCGTTTTTGCTACCGTTCTTGCTTTCGAGATTTCATGCCATCACTACACTTTTATGACTGTTCAGTGAATCTCTAGCGCTGTCGATTTAGATATCTCGACTAGTAATGCATTCCTCCACGAACCTCTTCAGCTACCAATATTTGTGCAGTGCAGCAGTTTCCTTGGCCACGTGAGCCTTAGAAGTTAGAAATATCGTGACCAGCCATGCCGAACATATGGGTTCTCTACCCGTGTCTTTTTAACTATACCTAAAGGTGAGTGTATCCAAGGGTCGTTATATAAACGACAATTCGTTCCTTTTTAAGCGAAATCGAGATCACTCGCTATGTTCTTTGATCTCTTGGATTCGTGTGTGCTTACTTGACCTCACTTTGTATCTCAGCATACACATTCCATAGTTAGAGAAGGTATATAAACCCACCTTTGGACCCTTCTTTTCGCTTCACTTTAAACAACATTAAACCCACCTAACGAGGTTCTACAGGATGTCAGTCGTATGTTTCATATGATACGATATATGGAATTGCTGACAAGTTGTCTTCCTTACAATTTCTGGAGAGCTCATGGAGATCATTTAGTATTGTGAATTTGATTGTCACTGCTGTATTCAATTTTTGTCGTCTATTTGAGAGGGGCTGCTATTTATATAGAGTCACTATTACATATCTTTATTTTGCTGTCGTTATTCTATACCTATAGAATCCTGCTTTTCACTCCACCCTTTGAATCTATTCAGTCATTAACCACTCGATCGTATCCCGGGCTCAAGTTTTGTACCACTGCATGCTATTCTGCTCCCATCTCAGCTTTCCTCGCGTGTGTTTATTTGTTATTTATTGATGATAGAGAACTTTACTTTTCCAGGTCCTGCTATCTACATGCACATTCGCAAAGAAAATTGCATCCTTACATTATAACAATCGAAAGCTTCATAATACAAAACTGATCGTCTGAGTCATTCCGCTCCCTGAAACTATTCTCAAAAAAAGTAATGTTCCCTATATAAATCACTCATCCAGTTCATTTTCTCCCAATCAATAAGCCAATAAATCAAGATGAAAGACCCACCCCAAGGAATCTCCTCTGAGGCCTTCACTCGAAGAATGCTCATCCATCTTTTCTCTATCTCATCTTTTGGTATCTAACATAATTATTCTTATCCACTTAGTTAATCACATACTTTTCGTCGAGTATTAGATATTTTGCTATCAACTATTATTAGGTAGTTATCATCACTTGATCCTCGACGTCTAATGTCGAATCTTCCACAACCATATTCCATATCACCCCCCTCCTTCCACTTCTCAAAACACGTCTGCTTGAAGTCTTTGAATGATATGTTTTCTCGGCTGACAAACCGTTTCATCCTTTTGCAACAATGCTATCGAACTGTGGTTATCGTGTTAAAGCATACTCTTTGGTCTTCTTATAGAAATCTACAGGCTGGGAAAGATAGAACAAGTGTTTAGTAGGTATTCAAAAAAGTATTCTAGGGCTATATAAAAATCACTTCACTACCCTAGCACCCACACCCCATCAAACAACAAACACCTCATCATTGCGCCCATAGCGAACTAGAAACTTAGCACAGAAAACTTCACACACCATACTATGATCATACATCCCACTACAAACTGCACATCCCCCACAATCTCCGCTTCCATCTTTGACGAAAAGAAACCTGGTGGACTCATCACTGTCGTCTAACTTGTCGTTGTTTGGAGAATCGCGATTCTTGCTGTCATTTTGTAGTTCGTCCAGTCTTGAGCGTGAGTCTACAATATATACACCATGTAGATATTGCCGATCTGTAATTTAAATGGGTTTCCATGATAAATTCACATATCTATAACACAGACAAACGTTCACGAGCACCTTGTCATCGATGTCTTAGGGATTCTAACAAAATAACTTTATTAAAAAAATCCAACTAACAAAGTACTTTTATATTTCAAAATCGATTCATTTCCACATACCTATACATAAAACTCCTTATATAAGCACATCCAACTTCCACGCATCTCTGATTAATCACAAAGGTATAAAACCGTGATTCATCATTCTCCAGCACTTGAAGATATACAAATATATAAACCACCGATAAAGCCAAATCTGTACGAAGACAGAATACTCAATTTAAACACGCAAGAGGGGGTTTTCGACAACTAGGTTAATGCGAAGTTCAGGAACTAGAGTTGTTAATGTGTGCGGAGGAGGGGAGTTTATATAGAGATTTTCGATGTGTTTATTGCTGGTGTTGTTGTTTGTTAATGTATTGATTAATATATACCTAATATATATCATCAAAATTTCGAATCCCTCAACAGCAAAAATTATATCTGTTCGCTCAGTATCTTGCGCTTCGTATCCCTGATGACCAAGATTATTCTCCATTCCCCATTCATATTCCCGCAATCCCCAGAATAAGGGTACACGAAGGATGAGGATGGAGATGAGAGAGCCTAAGATAGCATTTTTTTTGTCTTGTGATATTTGGAGAGAAGATTATCGAGAATTCAGAGGGTGGTTTTATAGTTATGATTAATGAGAGTGTATGATGAATAAAATGATACGAATATTGATGATTTAGATGAACATGTATTCCTTTCTATTCCACAACCATAGCCAGTGAAGCGATATATAATCTCCTCGTCTTCCAAAAACTTTAACCCTATAAAAACAAATTATCAAATAAATGTAACCTATCAGACCAGTGAGTATTCAGCCACCAACACCCTCAAATGACCTGCGGGCATGTATAGACTTTGAAAAATATTACTACAACCACAGCCTCATTATATATGTTCTCATCAAGAATTACCCGTATTCGCATACATCGTCGATCAATCGATCAACCAATCTACAATTTCTCACAGTGAAATTCACTTTGCAGATAAAAATGACAATCAAAGTCATCCGATCCACCTAGAACAAGAAAGAAAAGATAGTGAAAACATGAAAACAACACAAACCCAACTCAAATCTTCACATCACTTTCCAAATTCGCCGAGACGACGGTATCGTAGAATCGAAGAAGAAAAAAACAACCTAATCACACTTTGTCTCTTGCTTCACATCCCGCATGTCAAGAAATCAGATCGGAGATGAGATTTGATTCTTATAGGTACGAGATGGATGGATTGCTAGTTCCACATCTGATATGTGAGCTGGTATTACCTCGCAACGGCTGGAGTAATTTTTTTCTGTGGGATGAGTTTTTGGGAGATGAGGGGATTTACTAGGATATTCTGGGCTTCGGGAAGAGTATATAACGACGTACCTTTTCCTTTGATGGAAGAGAGATGTCATGTTGTATGGGGGGCTTGATACAGGATTACAGGAGTTGTGGTAGTCATATATATCACAATATCTGCGCATTAATTGTATGATTATCACACCTTCAGATGAGCGTTTGCTTTGTGGGTTATGGATTTGAGGGAGTTATTGCTCTCGCAATACTTACTGTTTCTGTTTATCGCCATTCTCGAGATCGTTCTTCGTATTGTCGTTTTTGTTGTGTACATTACCAACATCTCTTGTATAAATAAAACGGAACCTAATTGGCAAAATGAAAAGCAAGAGATGGTTAAAGGAGATGATATCAATGTGTCATTTTTCAAGAGAGATACATATCCTATAACCCTTGACTCAAGGATTGGATTGTATTAATTTGTAATTGATATGTAATCTTCTTTCTACAAGAATATTGAATCTGGATATGTAGAGCTTCCCCTGCCCGATCCCCAAGTTTCAATGCTCGATATTTGGGATCAGGGGATAGTATAAAGTCCCAGAGAGACTATCGAAAAGGGGACAAACATAGATGAGAGAGCTTGAACTCGTTTCAGGTGCGTAATGTCACACTTGTGCGAATCGTGAAAGTTATCATCTGGATAGACGTTGGAGTCTCGGATCTGTTTGTGTGAATTTTGGGGACTTCGATGATGATGAATATGAGTATCTCTACCTAGGTATTCACAATGATGGTAGAATTCCTATGTAGCGGTCGAAAACGAACATCATAATGAAATCGTTACACTTATATCGACGACGCAAAAGATAGTGATAGGACTCAACAATAACGATGATGATAGTGTTTTTATAACAGCAGGCTAGAGGCTACTCGTGGCCTCGTATGAAATATAATGATGACTATTTCTCGATGGCTACTATACCATCCGTA